TGGGCAGGAGGCTGGAGGGGGCACAGGTGATCTGCTTAGCACGTCAAGCCCTGCAGCAGGTTCTGTTTGGTGCTTATTAGCAGCCAGTTATCAGCAGCTGTTTTAAATCAAGCTCTCATTAGCTGTGATATTTGAAACACCTGTCCCCAGGAGTAGGAGGTGTTGGGCTCATCTGATGAATCGCCAGACTGGTTCTAGACCTTTCCTTCACTTTATAGGATCGTTGTATGTGAAGGGGTTGGAATGGAGCTTAGAGATCATCTCGTCCTAATCCCTGCCCTGGGCAGGGACACCTCCCACCAGAGCAGGTTGCTCAAGGCTTCATCCAACCTGGCTTTGAGCACTGGCAGGGCTGGGGCAGCTGCAACTTTTCAGTTCAAAACTTCATCCTCTAGTGGTGCCACGACCGAGAATTCCACCAGATCCCTGAGTCCCACAGGTCGATTTGCCTCTGCCCCTCCTGCCCAGCCGTTTCTTGGTGCTGAGCATCTTGCCATCCTCTCACAGCTCGAATGGCTGTATTTAGACCAGATTCTGTTGCTTTGGTGATGAGCAGGAGTTGGGTTTTTTTTCCCTTCCCCTGCCTCAAGCAAACACTCAATGTGAGGCATTAACATTTCCAAACAGACATTAAGAGCACTCAGCGATGTTCAGCCGCTTGGATCGCTCGATTGCTTGAACAAAGCTAACCCTGTAATTTGGCATCCAGGGTGTCTTGCACATGAATGGAAACGGGGAGGGAGGACGCTGTGATGTGTGCTCTGGGCTGCACTGCTCTGTTCTGTGTCCTGGAGAAGATGAGGATGAAGTAGGGTAATAACCACAGGGAAATTATTTTCTCTGTTTAGGTATTTATGTGGCTCATGTTTATAGCAAGAGACCAAAATGCATCTGAGTTGGAGTTTTTTAATCTGTAAGCATCGAGTGAGTAAAGGCATTTCAGCTTTGCAAGGTCCTCCAGCTGAAGGGCTGTGCCCTTGGAAGGGCTTGGATAGGCTTTTCAGTGCTTCATGTGAGCTCTCTAAAATGAAGAGCAGGCAGGAAAGTGAATGTAGGTGATGTTCATTCAAAAACCAAGAAGTCAGCAGGAGATTTTGGGTGTTTGTCAAAAAACATCAATCTCTGCATTGCAGGTTGAGCCCAGTGGTACCAAACCAGAGTCCTGAGAGGGGATTGATATTGATCATTTAACATTACATCTCCCTCCCTCCTGCAGAGGGTAACCTGGCAGGTGGGAGAACACCTCTGGCTGTGGTGGAATCACAGGATGTTTTCTGAAAGATACCCCTGGAGCTGTCTTATCTTTTTTGTTGCATCTGAAATGTTACTGTACTCAGTAGTTCCCAGGCTGGAACTAAATCCCATTACAGGTGCTGATCTGCTCAACACCCAGCAGTGAGGCTTTTCCTCTGCCTTCATTTCCCTTTTTGCAGGAAATTAGTGTTAGGCTTTCCTGCACCAGGCAGGGCAGGCCCTTGCTCCCTCTCAGAGCCAAACATGAGGCCGTGTTCCCTCAGCTCACCTGTGCAGGTGATTTTGTAGAGCATGAGGAGTTCCCCATGGGTAATGCTTCTAGACTGGAATTCAGTTCAGTTTAGACATACCTCTCCCTTTTTTTTCTTCCCCCACAGCTACAGTTGCTAAAGTGATTGACAAATTTGAGGATGAAACCACAGATGACATTTTGCCAGTTGGGAATATAAGGAAAAAAGTTTCAGCCTCTCTCCTAGAAGTTGATCAAAGGTACAGTGGAAGAGCTACATCTCGCAAGGCTTTGCAGAAGGAGCTCTGGGGAGATGCTCTGTCTGAAGAAGAATCTGGTAAGAATTCTCATTTTTCCTTCTTTTCACCAGACTGCCCTAGATTTGATGTTAACATGTGACTGAGCTGTGCCATCTGAACTGAGCTGACAAACTTCAGGGCCCTCTTACAGGGCAATAAATGGGTACAACTAAGTTGGACATCTTGAAGTGCCTTCCTGAAATTCAGGCTGTATTTTTTGGCCTGAGGAAAGGGGAAATCCCAAAGATGAGATCAGTTCCACAGGTTGAGGACAGTGTGACTGAGGTTTGGTGCACTGACTGAGCATCATGTGTGTATGAACAGAAACAGCTCCCATTTTTAAGCCAATATAGCTTAGGGTCTGCAAGTTTAGACAGATTCTCATTTTAAAGATGCAGATAGAAATTCTGTCCATCTTGGTCACTTATGTCACTGTTTGATGGGAAAGCTAAGCTGTGGATCTGCTAGTTGTTGGCTGCAGCAAATGTGAGCAGAGATCTTTTTGCATCTCTGACCTTATTTAGCCCAAACAAAGAGTGACATCATACAGAGGTGAAATGGAGTTTGGAGCTCTATTAACCCAAACCTGAGCTATTCCTGATGAACACTGTGAAGTGGTGCATTTTGTTGGCAAGTAAATAACTTTTTTCTCTTCTGTTTATTAGCTGAAGAAGCACTAGGTGACTGGTACAGTGGCAGTGAGGGTTCAGAAGAGGATGACAGCATAGGCTCCAAGGCAAAGGGGAGGCCCAGCAGTGCTGGCAGTGAGCAGGAAGATGACTTGGAAGATGATGAAGAGGCAGATCCATCTGTCAAGGCCAAGACATCAAAGTTCAGCTTCCAAAATATCACAGACTTTGAGAAGTTTACAGAGGGGATGGATGATGTGGGAAGCAGTGAAGGGGAGGATGAAGATGAAGGGGAAGAGGAGGATGAAGATGAGGATGAAGATGATGCCCACATGGAAGAAGGAAGTGAGGAGGAGGAATATGGGAGTGAAAACGACGGCGATGTAAAGGAAAGCAAAGACAGTGAAGATGACGGAGGAGTGATGACATTCTCCAAAGGACAAGACTCTGAAGAAGCAGAGAAGGGAAAAGCTGTGAGGAACCAGCTAGGTTCGTGCATGTTTGCTCTGTTTTGACAGGGCTGTCACCTTGCTGCCACTGTAGAAACCAACGTCAGGCACCACTTCAGCATGTGAACACGCTGTCAGCATATTGCATGTGCATGCTGCAGCACCCCCAGTCATTTGCAAATGTTCTGGCCAATCTGCTGTGCAGGCTGGTGTCACTGCTGCTGCAAAAACCCCTGTTGGGGGTTAGGGGTGTGTTTATCCACTGCCTTAACTGAACCAGCACTGAACATCCTTGTGGTGTCAGGGGAAAAGGTCTTCCTGCATTGCAGTGATGCTGATACATCACTTTTCCTGTCTGTCCTGTTACACTATCAAACCTTTTGCAGACTGTCCTGTTACACAGTAAAGCAAAGGGATGGTTTGGTTTTGAGGATCCCAGAATTGCAGTTGGGATCAGTTCAGGGACACCTTGTGGTACCAGTTTTGTGCTGGGTCAGTGCATGCAAAGGTTTTTCCCTAGCCAGGAGTTATTCAGCCCCCAGGACAGGATCTGGCTGTGAAGTCCTTCACAAGGACCAAATGCTTTGGCTTGCTGAGTAACTATTTTATTTCCTTTTTGTTGTGAAGCACTGTGTGATCTGCTGCTGGAAGGGAGAATCAAGATGCAGAAGGCTCTCATGACAGCCAACAGGCTCCCCCAGCCAGACACTTACCCAACGTTCAGGAAGGAGGGTGGACAGGAGTTTGATAACGCTGTGGAGAACTGTAAGAATCCTTCAGCCTTTTTCCTTTGCTCAGACTCTGCTGCAGACAGTGTGTTTTGCCTGTGTGGGGAAGCATTAGTGGGAAGGTGAGGGGTGTGTGTAGTACTGGCTGTTGGTTTGTATTGCCTGAATCACTAGTGAGGTACAGAATCCCAAACTCTTTCCTATCCTGAAGACATTATGTCCCATCACCCACATCTGTGTGTGCCTGACTGGTCTCAGCTGGTGGCCTCTCACTGCTTGCATAATGCTGCTGAGCCTCAGCTCAGGTCCTGCTGCTGTTTAACTCACCAAGTTTAACTTCCATGCTGTATCCTAGAAATAATTGCTTTGGTTGTTTTGCTGTTCAGTGCAGGGTTGGGATGCTTTGTCCAGAGACACCTCATACCAGTTTTGTGCTGGGTCAGTGAATACAAAGATTTGTCCTAGCCAAGAGTAAAGTAGCCCAAAGGAGAGGGTCTGTGCAGTTAAATTGTCTTTGGAGCTCAGAGCTGCTTCATCTGTTGATTTCTAAGGATCACTATTAATGACATTGATCTGATGACATTTGTAGTAGATTATCCAATATGAAATAATGTCCAGGCTCCAGCTGAGCTTTATGAACTTCATAGGATATTTTTCCAGTGATTTTTTGAGTAGTAAAGATAAGCCCAGTAGCCTTTTAAAGCTTGCCAGGTTGGTCATCCCATTCTCTTCTATTTTTTCTTCCTCCAGTTTTGAGATCTCTTCACATTCCAGAGTTTCAGCTCCATAGGTGAACACCCCATGGAGGATCCCAAGCAGCTTTACGTGCCCCAATTGGTAGGCAGCACTGGGGTGGTGCCCACAGCCTCTTGTGCTGCACAGCAGAGGTGTCACACACCCTCAGGTGTGCTCTGCTTGTCCATCCCTTCAGCCACACTGTGTAGTGACTGAGAAATTTTGGCCTGGACTGACACAAATCATCCTAAAACTGTTTTAGGAACTTCATCCAACATGACCTTACAGCAAGTCTTGGCTGTGATCTCGTAGCTTACACCTGATCAGAGCATGGCAGGTGATCAGCTTGTCTGGGCTTCCTATTTCCAAGTTGGCTCTGCAGCTTTAAATGAAGTGATTAAGGACAAAAAGGCAAAGTCCCAACAATCCTGCACTGACCTTTGAGGAAACACACGTTATTAATGTATTTAATGAGATGCATTACAGCCTGCACCAGCTCCATGTTTCATTACAGGTCTGAAATGCAATATCATTAGAGACCTTTAACAGAAACAATGGTTGACATTTTGATATTTCCCATAAACAAAATACATCCAAGAACATGGAGTATAATGTCCAGGGCATAGCAGAGAGGTTAATCCTGCAGTTGTCCAGAGCTCTAAGGGAAAATCCACTGCTAGTAACTGCTCAGTGATTCCCTCCTCACCTTCTTCTCATAACCTGGGCAGGAAAGTTGTAGGAGTTCACTCTGATACTCTTGACAACTTGAGTTTGTGTTCTGTATGTCATCTGTGAAGACAGTAAGAAAAATCCCATTCCCTAGACAGAAAAAATTAGAATTATTGTGCAGGAGAAAATTAGAAGATGAGAGGAAAACCTCAGAGTAAATCCTCAGTGTTGAGGTGGTTCCACTGTACGTGATGTGCTTCAGTCTTGGACAGGATTTGGGATAATCATGACATTGACACAGTTTTGGCCTGGATGAGGCTCTCCTTTCAGGGAAGCCTCAGCACTTGTTTCCAAATCCACAAAATAAATTTGGCATGTTTCCATCATCTTCATTGAGCAGGAGGAAATGTGGTGTTCACGTTGCACAAAGGAGTTGGTGCCAAAAATCCGCTGCAGGATGCTGAAGGCAGGAGACACTGAGCTCCCAGTGCTCTCTGAGGCCCTGGACAAGTCCCTCACATCTCTTTGAAAGCTGCCCCAGTGTGTTTTCAGTAATTTATCCCAAATCCTTCCACTTCTCATGGAATTTCTGCTCACAGGAAGGATTTATTTATTTATTTATTTATTTTTGGAAAATGGTCCTTCATCTATTTGGCTTTTTGGCATCTCCTACTTAGGCCACCCCTGTGATGGGGAAATTCCCCAAGGGCTTGAATGTAATTGCCTTAAAGAGGCAGACAGATATGCTCCATCCATTTGCACTTTTAAAGCCAAATCCAAGTGAAAATGCCAAGGTCATGCTCCTTTTCCAGATGTTGAGCTTGGAGGTTACAAACCTCAAGTGTTTAATTTATGATTTTTATAATCTTTTATGATTTTTTTTTTCCACTTTTAATGTTACAGTGTGCTCTGGACAGTCTTAGATTCCTGAGATCTCAGGTTCTGGTAGATGATTTACTGCAAAATTGCTTATAAATTGAAGTAGAAAATGTTTTGCAGACCTGGCAGCTTTCAGGCTTCACACCCATTTGTCACCCAGCATTTCCCTTTGTGTATAGAACAAGAATTAATTAGGCTGCACTGCAGGAAAAGTTTATGGCCATAATTTATATAGGATGAATTTCTGTTTAAAGAGACAGCATTGCTTTGTTTGCACTGTCTTACTTTTTATTTCCTTTCTTTTTTTTTTTTTTTTTTTTTTTTTTGAGATCTTTAATTATATTCCAGATTTTTTTTCTGTCACCCTTTTTACATACAGATTGGAGACCAAACTGTGGTCATGGAGCTCATGTTTATTCCTGGTTTGCATCCACACACAAAGTCTGGATGGTTGGTGGTGCTGAAATCAGAGTGGCTGAGCCCTGAGTGCAGCACAGATGTCCAAGGTGTAGTGCCCTGCACACATGGACTCCCCCAGCTCCCAATTCCAGAGTGCTGCTGCCTGGAATGGGCTGTTTCTCCAAGATACATTTGTATTCTCCTGCACCATATCTTCCAGGCTGGTCCAGGGCTTGAGATGTTGCCTCTGTTTGGGGTCTTGCACGTTCAATTAATGTTTTTCATAATCAATGCAAGTCAGAATTTGCAATCTGCTCCTGATTTGCACATTAAAGAGACCCATTAATTAAAAATTCCAATCCCTGGCATGTTCCCGCAGGATCCTTGCATTATTTACATAGAAAGGGAGTGCAAGGTGCAAGTTTCTCTGCTGTGTCTCTGCTCAGATTGCTTGGCTGCCATTCATACATCAGTGTTTGCTTGCAAAGGGGCAATCTGCTCAGATTGCTTGGCTGCCATTCAGTGTTTGCTTGCAAAGGGGCAGGAAGGTTAGAAGTGAGTCTCATGGAAACGTCACCAAAAATTACCTCAAGGGCAAGAAAGAGCCAAAGAAGAGGTGGAAGCAACATCAGTGAAGTCACATCCAGTGTCAGGAATTAAAGGGTTCCTAGGTTTGGGGCTCGTTATGTTAAATCTTGATAGAAGGACAAAAGCCCACGAGTATTTAGGGGCAGTGGAACAACAAGAGCTTTAGGGAGTGAAATCCTTCCATCCACAGAGGCTGAGAACTGTTTGTGTTTCCTGGGCTTCCCAGGCCAGGCAGGTAACTCTGTCCTTGCTCTTTTAATTGCCTTCTCTTTAAATTCTGGTTAAAAATACTAAGCTGGGGATGCTTCAGTGACTAATACTTTATACTCCACAAACAGAGCTGAGAATTCCATCTTTTAAATCATGTTATTTTCACTTCTTTAGTTGATGAGGTGAGTTAAAACCACACAGAAACCCAGTGAGAATCTTGCAGAAGGCAAGAAGGTCTTGAGCTGAGCCAGGGCAGAGTCAGATTGGATGTGAGGAGAAATGTTTTCCCTGTCAGGGTGTTCAGGACTTGATGATCTTCAAGGTCTCCTCCAGCCTTGATGGTTCTATGATTCTAAGAAGCTGAAGAGACTTGCAGGACTTTAAAGGGACAAGTAGTTGTATATGTGTTTTCATAAGTATATACTTTCACTTTCCAAGAGTTCAGGAGATCCCTGAAATGTAAACAGCTTGGCTGAATTTTTGTGGCCTGTGTTGGTTTTTTTGACTTTGACTCCATCTATCAGTGGATTAAGGGAAAATAGCAGAATCTCACATTTCTACTCCTCAGCATAAGCTCCAGGTAATTTCAAGAGCAATGGAGAAAGCAGTGTTTTTGGTGAAAAGGCAGGGATGGGTCTGTGAGGATTTGCTCACTGAAGGAACAAAAGTGGGACAGCAAATATTAACTGTTATTTACACTTGGCAGAGCTGTGGAGAAGTTACACAAAGGTTTGTGATCAATAAGAAAATAAACCTGAATAAAGTGAATCAGATAAAAAAAAAAAATCAAATGCAATGCTCCACGTGCTGGCAAGGCCATTATCCCCAAACCTGCCTGGATTGTTAATGGATTAATGGAGCAGCAGCACTGAGCTCTGCCTGGCTGTGGCCTCAGCTTGCAGCGCAGTGTCTTGGCTGCTGCTAAGAGAGCCA